ATTAATTATCTCTTACCTAATTTTCATAAATTGGAGTTTTTTTTTCTTAGCTTTAATTTTAGGCCCTTTTTATCTTAGGTCCTTTCTGTCTGGGTTGAATTTTTTTACTTAATTATTACAATACACGAGAAACACTCACAAAAAGGACTAGAAAACAAAGTGGAAGTAACTCACTATTCAAATTTCCTATTGACATTCATTCTTTGGATACTAATTTTATTGCACTGATAAATTTTAATTCTCTTTCTCTACATTTTCAACTAATAGTAGGCTTAATTGTATTTTGGTCGCCGAATTCATGTTCAATTTATCAATTAATGGAGTTTTTATATGCAAAACTTGAATGCAGAAACCAAATTAGTATTTTTGCATCTAAGAAGAAAAAGAAAAATAATTATTGAATAAATATATATTAATATGTAATAATTTTTTAGTTGTGTCTATATTATTATACTACGTAGTACTGGGGCCTCATCTAAAATTTTTGCCTAAGACCCTCATTTGTGTTGGGTCGCCCCTGGTTGTACACTTAAAGCTTCTGAATTTGTGCTGTGAAGTGTACCAGGACTATTAGATTAATGGTATTTTCGGTAGATATAATTAGGGTATCTGACAATTGAAATAGTTAGGGTTAGAGCAATATTTTATTCCAAAATGTCGTAGTATTGCTCGACTGGAATTTATTTTTNGAAGGATTAGAGCAATATTTTATTCCAAAATGTCGTAGTATTGCTCGACTGGAATTTATTTTTNTGCTGGTGCTTTTTGCGTATTTTTTGGTATGATGGTATAATTGCACCTAGTTTGTGAAATGGGGAGGTATTTGTTATGGGTGCATGATGACATACTCATCAACTTTTCTCCTCTTGTGCTATATTATGGTTCTATATTGTTGTTGCAATTAATGACAAAACGTCCTGCNTTAGGGCTCTCACTACGTATGTCTGGTGCTCTTATTGGATAATTCATCTATCAAGCACAATGCCCTGGTCAGAGAACTCCTTAAGCTTGACAGGTGAGTGCACAACAGCTCCTTGCGAATAAAATAGAAAGGATGAAAATATTTAATGTGAATAAAGATCAAGGTACACTGCTTAGTTTGATTCTGATAATGCAATTGGTGGAAGACTCTTGCAAGTAGATGGATAGTGTTAGGATTATAATTGAACACACTAGCAGTGCATATATATGTGTATTTCAGTATTTGTGCGTATGTTGATGGATCTTGGCCAGGCCCGTGTCATTGCTAAAGTTTCTTGGAGTGATAAACTATGGTGTTTGTCGATCCCTCTAGCTCATGGACTGCTCTGAAGAGACGAACATGTTTCTGTTTTTGTCACTGCCGATTAAGTACAATTACTGAAAAAAAAACTGCTGAACACCTATAGGACTGAAGANCGGGGGAATCAATTTCGGGAGTTTTACCAGAGTTGGCCCTAGCCTTTAAGGCTACCACCTAGGGCTCCCAAATAAATAGTAGAATTTGGGGCCCCTAAAGATTTTTTTAAAATCTCTTAAAAAAATTTAGGGCCCCTATNTCTCCCTAATGGTTACATTATCTGGCATAGAGCATGCAAGGTTACGTGATATTTCACTGCCGCATTTATTTTCTTCTGTTTTTTATTTTCCTTACGCCCATACTGCCATTCACAAATTCCAACAAGAAATAAACAACTTATAGCTGTCAGACCTCCTCAAAGTAACATGCTTCCATGTACGGCACTATATATTCCTTCTACCTTCACAGACCCTAAAATATGAGCAATTCCAAGTGTTGGTTCACCAATTAAGTGAAGGTTGGAATTCTAATGCTCTCCAACAACTTTGTATCGCAGCTAGTAGGAGAATGCTTTCAGTATTTCTCCTGCATCATTGTTTCATATCTGAGGCTCCTTTAAATTTCTTAATTCTGAATCGCCATGATTGCTTTGTCAACTATAATTAAGTGATGCATCATAGGCTGATGCATGTGTGTTTGTTCTTTTTCTCTGACAAAAATGTGCCAGGAAAAGCATATGTGAACACAGCCACTCAGTAGGTTTTTGAAACTAGATTTATAGCTTGAATCAGATCTAAATAACATTTGATAATAGTGGGAAACTTTAATTAACTTCTAAATCTCAGAGTTTGGCTTGAAAGATATTGACTTGTCTTTGATTGAGAATTCCATTAGATGTGAAGAACTCCTATGAAAAAACTTCTCTCTTGTGCTATTGTACTGTATTCTCTCACTGAACTTTTTTTTTTTTTTTTTTTTTTTCTTTTTACAGGTTCAAGTCAGATGAGGAGAGAACACCAGTTTATCTCATTGTTGAGGACACATTTCCGCACCTGCTCAGTATATTTAATAGACTTGTTCAGATTGCCAATCCTTCAATAGAAGTAGCAGACTTGATCAAGCTCATCTGCAAAATATTCTGGTCATCCATATATGTAAGTATCAGGATGCCTTTTCTTGGTGGTGTTCATATAATGTTCTAGAGAGCATTAATAAGTCTTTGTCAAAATGCCTTTCATTGAAGGCATGTGATCATGTTTTCTTAAAAAACTTTTGGACTCTATTACCACCTTTTATGCTTGGTAAACCAATATATATTGTGTGTTGCAAAGTTTTTCTCTTCTTGTGAAAGCCCAAGTTTTTTTTGTTTGCCTCTTTTATAGGAAACAGAAGAATATTATTAATAATAGACATGGACAAGTACATGAGAGGATTGAGGATTGAGGAGTCCTCTATATGAGAAAAGGAGGGACAATAGAAATGGAGAAGCTATAAGTTTAAAAATAGAGAACATGACTAGAAAAAGGACACTTAAGCCTCAATAATCTTCATGCTGTTGAATGCAATGATCTTTAATAAAAAAGAATGGAATTCTTTCAAAATCTTTGGTTGTGGAAGCCCAAAGAGAAGCCACGAATATAATTTTGTCCCCGAAATGTTCCCAAGGAGTATCTCTTTCATCAAACATCAGCTGATTCTTTCCAACTAAGCCACCCTAAACAATTCCAACCCACACAACTCCTTAAAGTCTTATCTTTGTTACTTGAACCAAAGCCATCAAAATGAGTCACAAAGACCGAAGCACAATCTCTAGGGTTCACCCGAAGACTCCAACTGTTTCCAAAAGCCTATTCCACAATTTAGAGACAAAGGAACAATGTAAAAATATGTGGTCCATACCTTTTATTGCGATATGCCTGTTGTAGTCTTTTGTCCTCAATCCTAACATAGGAGAAGCATAACTTATCTTGGTCCATGTCTTGGTCTGATGAATGATAAGTAGGAAAAGATAATGATCTAGGCAACTCCTCAGGGTATCCTTTAACTCTTTTGCCTTTTTTTAGTTGTGTGCTGATCTTACTTTGTTCAATTGATTCTTCTCCATGTTAAAATCCTTTTTTTGATCTTTTCAGTTGGAGATCCCAAAGCTGTTGTTTGATCCAAATGTGTTCCATGCTTGGATGGTTCTGTTCTTAAATATGTTGGAGAGGCCTGTCCCATTAGAAGGCCAACCTGCTGACCCCGAGATCAGGAAGTCTTGGGGATGGTGGAAGGTAAAAAAGTGGACAGTACACATATTGAACCGCCTGTACACCCGGTGAGTTCGTAGCCGAACAAATATCTAAGCAACATCAGGCTTAAAAACTGATTCTGATTTTCTACCATTTTGGCTCCCTCACAGGTTTGGAGATTTGAAACTTCAAAATCCAGAAAACAGAGCTTTTGCCCAAATGTTCCTAAAGAATTTTGCAGGGAAAATTTTGGAATGCCATTTAAATTTATTGAATGTGATTCGCACTGGTGGCTATTTGCCTGACAGGGTTACGAACCTTATTTTGCAATACCTGAGCAACAGGTTCGTAATGTGTGTGTGTGTGTGTATACATAGTGCATTCCGTTGCATTACATAATCTCTTAATTATACATCATCTGCATGCATGGAGGGTATTTGTGATTTGTTTTAAACAAGGTCTTAATGTCTCAACTTTTTTTCATCCCCCTGACTTCTCATTTTGGGGGTGGGAGAGAGGTAGGCGTTGAGCTGACTAATCTTGATTATGGTTATTAATCCAAATTAAACGGTTGAATTATTGTCTTTTGGAATCCCTGCAGTAGCAGGCCCTATTTTTCTGCAAGTGAGAATTTGGGTGGGGTCTCTATGCTTAATAATTGATGTCTTCCAATTTGTGACCAACATAACCCTTTGTATTTTCCAAATTTTCTTGCACCAATATCCATTTGTTTTGTTAATTTTGGGTGGGAAAACCTAGTATTTTGATAAATCATACTACCAAAGCCAGGGGAGTAAGGTAAAATCTTTGGTCTGCCGACTTCTAATCCATAAATCCTAATTAGGCAGAATATCTAGTTTTATAATCGCCAATTTGGCTTAAGCAATGGCAAGGACGATATAGGAATTAGGATTGCTTTGACTCTTAAACCATTGGTACATGGTGTTCTCTCAATGCTGCGTTGGAGATCTCTTCCTTCCATTTTTTTGGCTCGTTTTTTCTTATCTTTCCTTCATTTTCTTTTTGTTTTTCCCCATGAGTTACACATTCACTTTCTTGTCTTGTTTTGTCATGTATATGCCTTGGATTGTATCTGTTTGTAAGTCACAATAGACATTTTTATCATTCACCTGATTCAAATTATATTTTTTTTTGCAGTATTTCTAAGAATAATATGTACAATCTGCTGCAACCAAGAATCGATATTCTTCTTTTTGAGATAATCTTTCCACTTATGTGTTTCAATGACAATGATCAAAAGCTTTGGGATGAAGACCCACATGAATACGTGAGGAAGGGTTATGGTGAATCATCATACTGGTTTTGTCCCCTTATAAGCAAATGTTAGTTACTTTTTTTATCTTAATCTGGATTTGCTTCATGCAATCCTTTATTTGATGCAGATATAATTGAAGATTTGTATAGTCCTAGGACTGCTGCAATGGATTTTGTGAGTGAGTTAGTGAGAAAGCGTGCAAAAGAGAACCTTCAAAAGTTTATACTATTCATTGTGGAGATCTTTAAAAGGTAGAAGTGGTCAATTTTTTTAATGTGGGGGTGGTGCACTAGCCATGGTAAAAGAATTAAAACCATCATTTTTTAATGTCCTAATCCAGATACAATGAGGCATCAGTGGAATGTAAGCCCTTTCGACAGAAAGATGGTGCCCTTCTTGCTATTGGAGCACTATGTGATAAATTGAAACAAACAGAACCTTACAAGTCTGAGCTTGAGCGTATGTTAGTGCAACATGTTTTCCCTGAGTTCAGTAGTCCTGTGGGACATCTTAGAGCCAAGGTGCATTGCTTTGCATTTCCTTTTGTTTCTCTTCCCCTGTTAATGTATAACTACATATTACGTAATTCACACACAACATTTTGTTTTGAACTTATAGTTAACTTTTTTACCTCCCTACTGTAGAGCCTTGTAATACATTCTACCTCCTAAATGTATGACACAACTCCCTTGTGTTTTTGCACCAAAGTGAAACTGTTAGATTTTCCATCCAAAGTGATTGATGGTGCAACATATGTGCCAGAAAGTGTGGTGGTGTGCAGAAAATTAAGTTCCTCCAAGTTTTAAATTTTAAAATGCTTGTTTGCCTCCGTCTCTCACACATGTATCTGTATGTGTATGTGTGCATNATCGCCATGATTGCTTTGTCAACTATAATTAAGTGATGCATCATAGGCTGATGCATGTGTGTTTGTTCTTTTTCTCTGACAAAAATGTGCCAGGAAAAGCATATGTGAAGACAGCCACTCAGTAGGTTTTTGAAACTAGATTTATAGCTTGAATCAGATCTAAATAACATTTGATAATAGTGGGAAACTTTAATTAACTTCTAAATCTCAGAGTTTGGCTTGAAAGATATTGACTTGTCTTTGATTGAGAATTCCATTAGATGTGAAGAACTCCTATGAAAAAACTTCTCTCTTGTGCTATTGTACNGTTTGCCTGTTATATATACATAATTATATCTATATATATATATACGTGTGTATGTATATATGTGTGTATGCATGCATGCATGCATGAATATATATATATATATATCACTTAGGCTGTAGTTTGGACCCTCGAATCAGTGGNATTTGCCTGTTATATATACATAATTATATCTATATATATATATACACGTGTGTATGTATATATGTGTGTATGCATGCATGCATGCATGAATATATATATATATCACTTAGGCTGTAGTTTGGACCCTCGAATCAGTGGATCTACGCAAACTATTAATTTTTGCCAACAATAAAAAAGAGGATGTTGTTTAGTGAAACAAATGTTACGTGATTACCATCTCTTNACGCAAACTATTAATTTTTGCCGACAATAAAAAAGAGGATGTTGTTTAGTGAAACAAATGTTACGTGATTACCATCTCTTGATATAATTATTTATTTCTTTCTATGAAGCATATAATTATTTATCCATGTCGGACACCGACACTCTTGGACACGTGTCCGATACTCTTTTATCTGTATCCATAATTAAATGATAAATTTTTTAATTTCGGACATGTGTCGGACACTTTTTTGATAACGTATCCGACACTTCTTTAGAACGTGTCTACCACTGAACAATCGGCATATATTGAAATGTGATTAACAAAGGTTAAAAATNTGTGTCGGACACTTTTTTGATAACGTATCCGACACTTCTTTAGAATGTGTCTACCACTGAACAATCGGCATATATTGAAATGTGATTAACAAAGGTTAAAAATTTGAGAAAATATAATTACTAATACTAGATGTATTAAAGTTATACTCTAATTATATTAATAAAAACAAAAGATGCATAAAAGTTTTAAAAAAGAAGAATTGAGAAAATTAAAACAATTATTTAAATTATATATTAGGTACACATTGTCTACAAAAAAAAATTGATGATTATTAAATATAATGAAGATGTTTTAGTCTAAAAATTTACATAGATGACTAGATATTAAGTTAACTTATCGTAAAATACTGAATTTTTTATGAATTGTATATCATTATCACTATANCAAATGACTAGATATTTAGTTAACTTATCGTAAAATACTGAATTTTTTATGAATTGTATATCATTATCACTATATTTGCAATAAATTATATAATGTTATACATAAAATATAATTTTTTTGTAACGTGTCCCCAACACGTCAGTGTCCTACTTTTTTTAGAAATGTCGTGTCGGTGTGTCCGTATCGTATCGTATCTATGTCCCGTGTCCGTGTCCGTGTCCATGCTTCTTAGATTTCTTTTCATCTTCACTTTACATACTGCCTATTCAGCAGAGTTGTAATTTAATTGTGTATGATTTGAGNGTCGTATCTATGTCTCGTGTCCGTGTCCGTGTCCATGCTTCTTAGATTTCTTTTCATTTTCACTTTACATACTGCCTATTCAGCAGAGTTGTAATTTAATTGTGTATGATTTGAGCTGGTCTTATGGTTGGAGTAACACTCAGTTGAGTTGCGTAGGATTTGGTCTAGTAAGTCAAATACTTGTTGTTATGTCTTCTGATAATGCTTGAAGTTTCTATGATTAAACTTATTCTTGAAATTTGTATGTATACCTGAAGAGTAATCTAAACTTTTGGTTGATCAATCAGGATGCATGATTTATCTTTTCACAAAAATCAACCAAAAACACAACGTTGCACTCTTTGGTGGTAATGTGATGTGAAAACAGTGTAGTGTATGGGCATATTAAGTTTGTGGGCTGTTCAATTAGTGCTTCATAGCCTTACTATTCGTGATACTACTAAAATTATTTATGAAGATGGCTGTGTGGTATGGGCTCCTCTGTCTCATCTATGAGGATAGATCTGTGGATGACCTATCTGAAACAGTGTTCCCTGCCCTATCCTTGTCATTCCTTGGCTGTCTTGGATCTCATAAGTTTGTAGTCATGTTAGATTTGCACAATTTATTTTGGAAGTTCTTAATGTTTTGTTGATAATTTTTAGCTCCTCCCCCCCTTCCTTTTTCTTTTTCTCTTCCCTTTTCTCCTTTTAAATTCTCTGGAATATCAGGCAGCATGGGTTGCAGGGCAGTATGCCCATATTAACTTCTCAGACCCAAATAATTTTCGCAAAGCATTGCAAAGCGTTGTTGCTGGGATGCGTGATCCAGAGCTTCCAGTTCGTGTTGATTCTGTTTTTGCATTGCGTTCCTTTGTTGAAGCCTGCAAAGGTGACATATCTACGTGATCTCCTGTTTTACTGCATCTTTTTCTATTTCAAAGATTTGATGCTTTTCAAGGACTGGATCATGTTTTTGTTTTGCAGATTTGAGTGAAATACGACCAATTCTTCCAGGACTGCTTGATGGTATGTGATTAATGAAACTTTGGTCTGCATTGTTCTTCATTCATGAGATTCTAATTTGTGATTCAATTTGTTTTGTCAAATTTTATTTTCAGAGTTCTTCAAACTTATGCATGAAGTTGAAAATGAGGATCTTGTGTTCACTCTTGAGACTATTGTGGACAAATTTGGGGAGGAGATGGCACCATATGCTCTTGGATTATGCCAGAATCTGGTGACACTTGCATTATCAGTCTTGGATACTATTAAATCTGCACATTCAATCCTGTCGCTTTGGTAACTCTTTTTTATTTTTTTATTTCAGGCTGCTGCGTTTTGGAAGTGTATGAACACTGCTGAAGCTGATGATGAAGTTGATGATCCAGGTGCGTTGGCAGCAGTTGGCTGTTTGCGTGCCATAAGCACAATTCTTGAATCAGTGAGCAGGCTTCCTGACCTTTTCGTCCACATTGAGCCAACTCTGCTTCCAATAATGCGCAGGATGCTTACTACAGATGGGCAAGGTAATTTATGCTTCTTTGAGTTAGCTTTGATTATTGCTGGAATTTTGCTGCAAAAGACTTTCTTGCATAGTAATTTGATTTATAATATACTGCAGTTGTGTAATCTGATGCTAATCAACTTGTTTGCCAAACATTTTGAAACTTTGTGTGAATTTTGATTTGATCTTTGTGGAATTCCTCTAATGATACGTCCAAAGATTCTCATGCACTCTAGTCCTGCGAGAGTGGTCATCAACAGCATTAACATTACTATCGTAAGTATGTGGATAACCTGGGAGGTGGTCCTCGAACATTGGAATGAACAATGGCCAGAAATACTATTTTGTTTTCACGAGATTCTCCCTAAGATTGAAACCAGAATCATACTCATAAAAACCACTATTATATGTTTCAGTTGGGCAAGTTGTGGACCTAACGGTTTTGTCCTTGGAATTTTAGGTTCTTATGAAAACTACACGTGATTTGAGTCGGTGATCAACCGAAATTTGGAGATTGCTATTATGTAGCAAAGTTCTACTAATTTTTGGCCTTGAGGAAAGAGGAAAGCGGATTATCATCTATGTAATTTACAATGACTCGGATTTGGAGATAGGTATGGAAAAAATAAACAGGAGTAACCATAGTAGCTTATTATCTGTCTGTAACCGTAAAGAATGCCGTTGTAGCGATCCATCTTATCATTAGATGTGTCCTTGAAGTTCACTTGTGATTAAAAGGTCATGTCTACCCTCCTTGAGTGCTTAAAAAATGGGTGTTGGTAAAGGATTGTTCCTAATTGCAATTTGGAATTTGGATTAAGTTTATACCAGATTAGTGTGGATGTTTGCCCTTGGCGAAAAGTACATTCTACTGGTCCTTTTTTTTTTTTGGGGGGGGGGGAACCAATTTTGGGTTTTCCTGATTGATATGTTTAGTTTCATGTGTGAACTTTGAAGCCTGAGTTTCCATTTACTTCCAACTGATCTATCTTTAACCTCGAACACTGTTGCCAACATTGTTATTTGTTAAATGACGACCTTGCAAGCTTGTCTAGCTGAGTGTTTTTTGTCAAACAGCTGGGCCTTCATCCTGGGGAATGACTTTTTATCTCTCTTAAAATTGTTGGTTCCTATTAAAAAATCCATTTTTTTCATAATGGTATCTTCACAAATAATTTTCCGTTCAATGAATTGATGCATATCAACTAAGAAACAACACATTCAATAATTAAGTATGGNGAACAGCTGGGCCTTCATCCTGGGGAATGACTTTTTATCTCTCTTAAAATTGTTGGTTCCTGTTAAAAAATCCATTTTTTTCATAATGGTATCTTCACAAATAATTTTCTGTTCAATGAATTGATGCATATCAACTAAGAAACAACACATTCAATAATTAAGTATGGCAAAAATGAGAATGTTAAAATGGATGTGTGGGAAAACTAGGAAGGATATAATTAAGAACGATTATGTCCATGAAAAAAAGTAAGGAAGAATCGACTTAGGTGGTTTAGACTTATTTGTAGTTCTACAATACTGGTGAGAAAGTGATATGATTATTATTAATGGTAAGAGTAGGAGTAGAGGAAGGCCAAAATTAACTTTAAATGAAATAACAAAGAAATATATGATAACATACCCATTAACAGACAACGGTACCCTTAATGGAGCACAATGGTGAAAGAGGATTCATGTTGCTGGCCCAAAAAATGTTGGGTCAAGGCTTTGTTGAGTTGAGTTTAGTTAAGTAAAATGAATTGATGCCTCTGTTTGATGCTTTGCCTTGGTTTTCCTTTGTGGTTGGACAAATTTATTGTTTACATCCTTGTTAACTTACAAGGATTACATGGAACACCAAATTAGTGCATGCCATGCTACCGTGCGGAATATATATCTTTTGGAAAATTGTGGGATGCTGCTAATACAGTCTCTACTCTTATCCATGAGCGAGGTAACTTGGACAAAGAGAGTGGCTTCTGTTTCAAATTATCTTAAGAGTCACTGTGATCATGTTCTATGGATTGCCGTTATCATTTATGTTTTTCTTTAAAAAAAAAGAAAAAAGATATCAGCTAAGCTGGATTTATCGAATCTAAAAGGCAGATATACCTTTCTTGGAAAAACAATATTCGAATGAGTGTTAATTTTGTCTGACTGATGATCTTGGCATTTAGGTTAGCTGTGTTAAGCTCCTGTCTTGTAAGCGGTAATATGAAAATTTATAAAATCTTTGTTGTAGGTTCTTATTTGTTCTTTCTTAGTTGCTATTTAGAAGTAGATTATTGGTTATTGAATGATAAGATATTTTGTTTGTTTCTCTCGTTTCTTAGTCCAGTCTCTCATCTATCCTTTTCTAATTAATATTTCTTTCTGCAGAGGTTTTTGAAGAAGTTTTGGAAATTGTGTCATATATGACCTTTTTTGCACCCACAATATCCCTGGATATGTGGTCTCTCTGGCCCTTGATGATGGAAGCTTTGGCTGATTGGGCTATTGATTTCTTTCCAAGTATGTTTTATATGCATTTTATTGCTATGTCACTGCCAATAACAAATAAATTCCTTGCTCACTAGTCTTCATCATTAATTTTATCATCTGTTTGTAAATGCAATGTGAGTTCTTAGTTTATGGGGACCATTTGGGAATTTATAAGTGTGTTAGGCATGGACCCTTAAATTTATCTGCATTTTCTTTTTTGGTTAGTGTTAATCTGCATTTTCAAAAAGCCAATTTTTCATAGTTTTTTTTTGGTTCTTTTTTTCCTTCTATTCTGCAATGGGCCGCAAAATGTTGGACTAGTAAGAAGTTCCTACCGAACCCTTAATTACTTAGGCATTTCATTTTTCGGATCGTTGGAAGGCAACACTTCTTCTGAGGCAGCCAATTTTTGCAGTTCATAAAATAGACACCTATTCAGCCTGAGCTGGTGATAATTTGTTACCTTCTAATCGCTAGTCCACTGACGTCTAAGAGACATTGGGATGGGCGAATGATTTAGAAGAAAATATCATTACAGGCTTGAGTTATGTTTCAAATTTCCAGAAAACTTTCTAAGCCTTACATGGTGATTATCTCACTTGTGATTTTCCTTCATTTATGAGATTTAGAGCCTCACTTGAAGTATGGTTGGTAAGTATCATTTACTATAACTGGAAAAATTAATTATTACTTTAATTGTTGATGGAAAAAAATTATTATTAATGTTCATGTTGCTTGTATGGTGAAAATAAGATAGAGGCAGAATATTTTTTTAATAAAGATCCACTTATTTTTTACTGCTTTGCTTATTAGATGAATGATGATGAACAAATGCAAATCTTGTTTTAAACTTTCTACTCTTACACCCCCTTTGACAAATTTTTGGATCCCACGAGTCCCATAACCATTTGCTTGCCAAATTTCTGCTCAATTAGAGATCAAGGGATGTCTGATATATAGATTCCAATTTGTTGGTATGAAATGATTATAAGAGATGATGGGGAGATGGTTGTGCTTAATGTTACCTAGATCGTGGGTCGCTTTGGTATGTGGTACGGGTACGGGTACATGATACGACAATTTTTTAGGCATGCGGTATATGATTAGGGTTAGGTTTACCTGGTATGGTATTTTAGGTCGCAATTCGTTTTAGAACTCTTATGTAGGTCGTTTTCAATACTATATAACATTATATATTACAGAACATTTATAAACACCAAGTTAGTTACCATTTATCATATAGTTGTGCTTGATTTTCTATTATCTAAAACAATATATAATTATAAATCTATATATATGTAGTTAATTAATATGTATTTTATATTTGTGCTACATGTTCTAAAACGTAGGATTAGTATTACAATTTAGGGTCGTCTATTTTGGTGATCTAGATGACGAACCCATCTTGTTTGTGATCAATGCCCCCAGATCGTGGGTTGTTAAGGGTTTAGTGAATTGTGGTAACCATAGTTGTGCTGTAGTGACCAATTTTCACCCCTTGTTGTAGATGAAGATAGAAGCAAAAATCATTTAATTGAAGGATAAAAAAAATTTATTAATTTTACAACTTTTTTTTTGTTACTAATGGAGGGACAAGAAAAAAATGAAGATGTAGTGTTACTCAAATGATTATTTAATATATATCCGTGATTTTTTTTTGAATGCTTCTTTGTTATTTGCATTGGTGGAGAATGTATAAGTCTAATGGGCTGTGAAAAGTAGAATAGTAAAGTACACTTTTGGGACTTACCGATTTTTGAGATCACATAAAACTTTGCTCGTGATTTTGATCATAGATTTTCGGATGTCAACGATTTTAAATTTTGTTTTTAGAACTCTGTTTGGTTTTGCCATTATGGTTCTAAATCTATATACTTATAGAATAATTTAGAATCCTTTGTTTGGAGCACTGCTACTAAATTGTTCTTGCAATCAAGAATGTAGACAACATGACTACGAATATATGCTATAGGAGGAAAAAAAAACTATACGAGCTCCGAGTTTATAGAGCTGATTCTCTCATGGAAAGCACAAATTGAGCATCAGAGACTTCTAGAAATTTGTTAGATAAGAGGAGGGGAGTCTAATAATGCTTGCCTCTTCCCAAACTTTTTGTTCTTGGTATTCATGAATTTAAAGACTTACAATTCTATGAAAAGACTTTGGTTGACTCAAAATTCAGACTTCAAAAATATCATTCTAACATTGAATTTGGAGAATTAATTTCAAGGAGTACAACCTCCCTCCTTACCCCCGTATGAAAATAACATATAAAAACCCTTGTCCTTGCAGACCAGAAGGTGATCCTACAATTTTTCCTCTATATTTTAATCCTGCCTTGGGACTTCTTTTCTTGGCCTTTTGACAAAGATCAATTGTATTATCTAATCAATCCTTTGACATTTCATGTCAGGGAAATTGGATTTTACAATTAGTGTTCAGTTTGTGTTTGCATCAAAAGTAACTTGTGTTAGAACTCCAAACACAAAATCAATTGACAATGGGTGGAGTGACACGTCTAGTATATAAACCAATCTTAGTGGTTATTATTATTCGATATGAGAAACAAGTTCTCTTCACGTTTACCTATTTGAATTTTCTGTATCCACTGACCACCCAAAGCCCAAATCTGATACCAATTGACAGTGGGTGGAGTGACCCTCAAGTATAAAAACCAACCTTGGAGTTCTTAATTATTCAATGTGGGATACAAGTTATCTTAACAATTTGCACGTATAGGGTTCCATACCTTGCATGAGAAAGTTGGACTTCAATTTGTCAGGTATCCACTAGGTGCTTAAACCTATGTTTTTCCAACACTGAATATGCTAAAAATCAAGCAAATAGGATGGTCAAAAATGGAAAAGAGCAACAAAAAATTAGATTTTTGGATTTCCTACAGTGAATAATGTCCTGGCAAATACCTTAAGAGTGTTATAACTTTACTGGTCTGTGATGGTTAATTTGCAGTAAATTTTCTTAGGTTGTTGTGGTGTGTCAAGGATTGTTTTGTGGCATAATGACCTGTATAACAACCATCTATGAAGTATGGATACTTCAAAAGAGTCAAAGTATCAGTATTGGATACTTCTCGAATACAGATACACGTCTGAAACGGCTGGAAAGTATCCTAGAATTAAAAAAAATAAATTTAAATTTTGGATACTTCAGGATACATTGAGATATGTTAGGATACNAGTCAAAGTATCAGTATTGGATACTTTCGGAATACAGATACACGTCTGAAACGGCTGGAAAGTATCCTAGAATTAAAAAAATAAATTTAAATTTTGGATACTTCAGGATACATTGAGATATGTTAGGATACGCAAAGGATACATCGGGTATACGGTAGGGTATTACTTGAATTTTTTAAAAAGAATAGGGGCACCAGAGTAAATATTTTTGGGCCCTTATTTGCAAAAAAAAAAATATGAATGTATGATTTTTAAATGATAGAATGGTTAGTTATTATTATATATCTTTGATAGAATTGTGATTTACTTTATAAATCATAATTATTATATTAAATATAATAATAAAATTTAAAAAAAATATATTTTATGGATGTATCTTGCTATACCTGTTTCCAATTTTTTTAGGTTTTGCTATATCGGCGTATCTGTATTATATCGTATCTGTATCTCGCATTCGTATCTGTGCTTCATAGACAGCCACTGATTAACTCGAGGGCTAAGGGATGGCCCATGATTGCCGAGGCAAAATCTCCCAAAGTTGGCACGANCTGCTATACCTGTTTCCAATTTTTTTAGGTTTTGCTATATCGGCGTATCTGTATTCTATCGTATCTGTATCTCGCATTCGTATCTGTGCCTCATAGACAGCCACTGATTAACTCGAGGGCTAAGGGATGGCCCATGATTGCCGAGGCAAAATCTCCCAAAGTTGGCACGAGTTGATTTTCCATGCTTTCCACACCATTTTCCAATAGAAAGGTTACATTGATTTTCATATCCCTTGAATAAGACCCCATCAATTCATTCCTCGCTTGATACGAGAGTGTCTGTAGGGTGTGGTGTTGGTTACTCTAAATATTATACCTATTCTCGTTGATAAGTTGCAAATTCCAAGAATAGGATGAGCCTGATTGATATATCCTGAGTTTTTTCTTACCATTCCTGCTTATGCTCATCTTCATTACTGTATGAAACAATAGGGTACATTTTCTCTTGGAGAGTATTATTTTTCCCTTCCTTTTTTTTATGCCTTTAAGTTTGTTTATTTTTTGTGGAAGCAGCTTTAAGTACTTCCCTTGTCCTTTATGTGTCGCCGCTTTCCATTTTTGTGTAGATATTCTGGTTCCATTGGACAACTACATATCCAGGAGTACGGTGCACTTCCTCACATGCAAGAAACCAGACTATCAGCAGAGCCTTTGGAAGATGATTTCATCTGTGGGTTACTTTCACTTTTAGTAAATCGTTTCTTTATTGTATCCAATAACATAATGGACGAGTGGGTATGGTTATATTGCGATTTTCCAACAATTACTTTCATGTTTTATTAGTGTATTTTTTTGTGCAGATCATGGAAGATAAAAATTTGGAGGATGGCGACATTGAGCCTGCACCTAAGCTTATTGAAGTAGTGTTCCAGAATTGCAGGGGGCAGGTGGATCATTGGGTTGAACCATATATAAGAATTACAGTTGAGCGATTGCGTCAAACTGAGAAACCATCTCTGAAATGCCTTTTGATGCAAGTGGTAGGTAACTTGAACAGAGCTTCCCTTTTTTTGTGATAACAATCGATCCATCCTTGCATTCTCGAACGACAACATTTGTCTAGTATTCTGGTTCTCTGATTGGGTTTGTCCCTTATGATTAGTTACTGAGCGTTGATGGAGACTGCACTGCTTGACAGTTGGTTGCTTGAGGAACAAGTTTGCTTATGCCTCGCAAAATGTCAGACTCAGTGGCGAGCCACATAAGGACTATTGCCCACCCTCAATTTTTTTTCTTACCATTACTCATAATTTGTATTCAGGTTTTTTAGTATGTCCAATTATGCCTACCCTATATTTTTATCATATCAATTAATATAGAGACGCTCCTAAATGATGATTAATTTTTGGACACACTACAAAAACATTCGGATAAGTTTGGACCTATTATTGATGTGTTATCTAGCATTAAGTTTTCATACCTAACAGAGATTTGTGGTCTTACTCAAAAAAAATTTAAGACAAGAAAAGACAAAGTATATCCTTTCATTTACATACTTGTGACTTTGACATTGATTTACTAGTTGCGACTACACTACTACTTTCAGCTATAAAGATTGTGAAAATTCAGTTATTTTAATCAAATGATTAGTAAAAATATGACTGATAGCATACTTGCACGTATACAAAAAAATATTTTTTGATGGTATTGATAGTGAAGCTACCATACAAGGCTATCAACTTGTGGAAATTTGTCTGGGTCTATTGTAAGTAGTAATAAGTTATAACTAACCTTATTGTTTGTAAAATGTTATGGTCAATCTTTTTTTTGTCTACTCATTGTATTCCAGTTTTTGTCTATTTGTGTTGAATAGATTTTTAAGTATTCATNAATAAGTTATAACTAACCTTATTGTTTGTAAAATGTTATGGTCAATCTTTTTTTTGTGTACTCATTGTATTCCAGTTTTTGTCTATTTGTGTTGAATAGATTTTTAAGTATTCATTGATGAGATAAATAAATATAAACACAGGATCTTACCTTTATCGATTAAGATAAAACTTGTTAAGTGCCCACCCAAAGATTTTTTTGGCTTGGGAGCATCAATCTATATTTGTCAAGCAATAATTTTTCCAAGTTCAAAGAAAGCTGTAATTATCCTTAAGTTATGCATCGAGGCAACTCTCTTGTGATTATTTGCTGTATTTGTGTATTTGGAATTCATAAAAGAAAAAAAATGATTTCTTGTCTAACATTCAATATGTTGCTGTTATTTCTGGCAAAACTTGAAACTTTAAAATACGGACCGAGACCTAGGGATCTCATCATCTTAACTCATCCCCTCATTTTTGGTGAAGGATAGAGTTGGTGCAGTCCTTTAAACTGGCTTGTGTGTGTAGGTAAGTTGTAATGGCAGTTACCATTGTTGTTTTTGTTTGTAGCTTACGGATGTTTCTGTGTCTTTATGTCTGTTCACACATGCGTCTTGCTTTATTTATTTATTTTTTTTTTTGGGGGGGTTGCATGATTGTAAATTTTATAAAGAGTTTCTGAGGATATTTGTTGGAAATTTTCTGTTTATGCATAACTGTTTTTGGGGAGGTGAATATTTGATGATCCTCAGAAATGATGTTATTCTGCAGATTGCTGATGCTCTTTATTATAATGCATCTTTGACCCTCAATATACTGCAAAAGCTTGCTGTTGCTACGGATATCTTTAACCTTTGGTTCCAGATGCTACAACAAACTAAAAAGAGTGGGGTGCGGGTTAATTTTAAAAGGTGATCGATTATTCTTGTTCCTGTCAGTTTTATGTTGACATCCCTCCCTCTCTCCCCCTTTTCTGAAACCAAACCCTGCACCTTTTTATCATCTCTGTATCAGAAGGTTTTACATTTGGAATGAATGTCATGTTATTGCTGCAGGGAACACGACAAGAAAGTTTGCTGTTTGGGGTTGACGTCATTGTTTCCACTTCCGGTGAGTCAATTACCAGCGGTGGCTTTAGAGCGTGTTTTCAAGGCCAATCTTGATCTACTTGTAGGCTACAAGGATCAAGTAGCAGGTTGCTCCCGAAATTTCTCTTTCTTCCTTGTCTTCTCTTTCTTCCTTCAATATTGAGGAAAGCTAGGCCAATTTCTTAGTTTTTCATATGTTTGATCTTATTTTACATCCTGTATAACATGCACAGAAGCTGCAAAGGAAGAAGAGGCTGAAGATGACGATGATATGGACGGCTTGCAAACTGATGACGAGGATGATAATGGTGATGGGTCTGACAAAGAAATGGGAGTTGATGCAGAGGATGGGGACGAAGCTGACAGCATTAGATTTCAAAAATTGGCTGCACAGGTGTGGAATACTGCAGTAAATGTTTAGGCCTGCTGTTTAACTAAAATAGGCATCGTTCACTGTTATTTTTATCCGTTTGTTTATACTACCACAATAATTATATTAGACAGGTAATTCAAGTACTAACGCATTGATGAGTTTTTTTTTTCTAAATCCATTTTAAGAGTGGCTAAGAAGATTCCAACCCAACTCAAAACCTTTTTTGTACAAGTCTGGTCAGCCCCAAGGTTTTTAGGTTGAGTGGTAATAACATCTTTCACAACTTCACTGGAGTCTATCAAACTAAAAAAATTAGAAATTGACAGCAAAGGGGGGAGGCCTTATGTTTGTCATATGGGGCGAGTCCCCCTGGATATGGCACTTAAAAAAATTAAGAAGACCCAAGAATGAAATCTGAAATTGAAATGCTAATCGATTGAACTAGGTTTTTGAATTGCTTCTTAAGCTTCTACTTCTTAGAGTCTAGAAAAATGTGGTGAATATGTTAAACAAGCAGCAAACCGTTCTTTCTGGAGGGTTACCTTTTTGAACCTCGATATTCGTCCCTGTTTAGAATTTTTATTTGTAAACCATTAAATTCCCCTTTGAGCCTCAAAGATACTCCCCCCCCCTCAAAAAAAANCTTCTGGAGGGTTACCTTTTTGAACCTCGATATTCGTCCCTGTTTAGAATTTTTATTGGTAAACCATTAAATTCCCCTTTGAGCCTCAAAGATACTCCCCCCCCCTCAAAAAAAAAAACCTAGTCTGTCCCCCTAGCTTCCATTTGGTCAGTTGACCTACCATTTTTCTTGAATTCTACACTTGTATATCATTTGACATCTTCTACCTGATCATAACCTGACATGGGTAACAGGCAAAGGCTTTCCGCCCGAATGATGAGGACGATGATGACTCGGATGATGACTTCAGTGATGATGAAGAATTGCAATCTCCCATTGATGAGGTTGACCCTTTTATTTTCTTTGTGGATACTGTGAAAGGTAAACTATAAATGCCTTTTTCTCTACTCATGGTCAAAGTAATGAGTGCCTTTTGTGGTGGTATTGAGCTATTTGCTGATTTGGAATCTTTTTTTTTTTTTTTCTTTTCCGTTGTTTCCAATTTTTATGAATCTAGCTTTGCAAGCATCTGATCCATTGAGGTTTGAGAACCTCACACAAATGCTTGACTTCCATTATCAAGCACTTGCTAGTGGTATTGCGCAGCATGCTGAGCAGAGAAGATTAGAGATTGAGAAGGAAAAAATGGAGAAAGCATCGGCTTCAGCTGCAGCAGCCTCATGAGTTTTGTTGGCAGGAAATGTTGTGCAAATTTTGCTTTGCTACCCCTTTTTTGGTTATTCCATTTATCTAGGAAATCCTTCCGGGAATCATAAGAGTTGGCAGATGGAGTTTGTGTTGGTTCACCGCCCATGGTGATCAGTGAGGCACAAAGGGTCTTCAGCTTTAAAATGCATGTCTCAGTTCCCAGAGACGAGGAAAGTGCTAGGGAACTCTGCCATTGCACCAGTTTCTTCCCTGTGTGGGTTGGGTAAGTTATCATCAGGTGAGTCGGCTATTCGATGGCAGAAGATGCTGGTTTCCACACCGTGTCACTATTTGTTGTCTGTAGTTTTAGTCCATTTTTAGTCACAATTTTATACAGACATAAATCCCAGTGCAGGGTTTATTGATTAGAAACCCTAGAATCTGGTGTAACTGGGCGGGTGTCATGCATACGGGGTTTATCTTATGCATTTGTCATTGTTTTGGTTTAGGTATCATGTGCAGTGTTGGTTGGCTTTATTGTTAAATGTTTGNCCTCTTTTCCGTTGTTTCCAATTTTTATGAATCTAGCTTTGCAAGCATCTGATCCATTGAGGTTTCAGAACCTCACACAAATGCTTGACTTCCATTATCAAGCACTTGCTAGTGGTATTGCGCAGCATGCTGAGCAGAGAAGATTAGAGATTGAGAAGGAAAAAATGGAGAAAGCATCGGCTTCAGCTGCAGCAGCCTCATGAGTTTTGTTGGCAGGAAATGTTGTGCAAATTTTGCTTTGCTACCCCTTTTTTGGTTATTCCATTTATCTAGGAAATCCTTCCGGGAATCATAAGAGTTGGCAGATGGAGTTTGTGTTGGTTCACCGCCCATGGTGATCAGTGAGGCACAAAGGGTCTTCAGCTTTAAAATGCATGTCTCAGTTCCCAGAGACGAGGAAAGTGCTAGGGAACTCTGCCATTGCACCAGTTTCTTCCCTGTGTGGGTTGGGTAAGTTATCATCAGGTGAGTCGGCTATTCGATGGCAGAAGATGCTGGTTTCCACACCGTGTCACTATTTGTTGTCTGTAGTTTTAGTCCATTTTTAGTCACAATTTTATACAGACATAAATCCCAGTGCAGGGTTTATTGATTAGAAACCCTAGAATCTGGTGTAACTGGGCGGGTGTCATGCATACGGGGTTTATCTTATGCATTTGTCATTGTTTTGGTTTAGGTATCATGTGCAGTGTTGGTTGGCTTTATTGTTAAATGTTTGATGAGAAATGGTTCACAATTCTTTTTATTCCTCCATCAGGGGTTATAGTCTACATATATATTACATCATTGGTTAATTTGGGGTTGGGAGTTCTGAGTCATGGCAGAGACCTTGCAAACAGTAGCTTGGTGCTGAATGTAAAACAACTATTTATTCTTTGCATGTGTATTAATGAGTATTTGATTGGATTTTGTTTTGGATTGATCTTTTTGGGCTTTCTCTCTCTCTCTCTCTCCAAATGTGTTGAGAAAGGCAAATGTATAGAACCTTTAGAGATAGTGCTTTCTCAATGTTTTTTTGTCTTTCCTTTAGCCCCTACATAACGAAGCAACCATCCTAACATTATTAATAAAAATTTAAACGTAAGGTAGTAAATAAAAATGATGAATTCAAATGTGTAGTAATTATCAAAAAAATTGAAGTTGTTATATAAGTCAAAATGTCGGATTTCAATTGGAGGAATGTACACCCAAAATGTTTGCAATAAGAAAATGCATAAATGGACACTTAAGACAAAAGGATATGCAATTAGTGTACTGTATTTTGTTAACTCAAATTCAGGAGAGCGGTTTTATTTGTGTCTGTTATTAATTGTAGTTAAAGGATTAACATTATTTGATAACACATGCACGGTAAATTGTTATGTACAATATTTTTAAATCAGTCTGTGTTGTAATAGGACTTTGATAACTCAAACTGTGATTGGCGGGAGTGGCATCCCTGGCAAATCCACAAGGGATACCATTGGAACAAGACCTTTTCAGGAGAACTTGTGACCCATTTGATGCCTATGCTGGTAAAGTCAACTAAGGGTGTATTGTTGCTTAATTGGTCTGAGGGACTAAGAGAAGGGCACCCCTCCCCGCGCGAGATTGGGCAGTATGACTCTCTTGGAGGGAGAACTATGAAATAGAGGTGGACGGACATGGTTGTCAACCTCGATCTTGGGCAGGCTTTCAAAGGTTTAATCTGCTTGAACAAGTCTCCTAGTGGATAATCCTAACCTGTTAATTCTTAAAACATTATTTAAACAATGATATCATAACATGTGCTTCATTAATCAAACTCATTAGCTCAATAATCATTTTTTTTTGTAAATATACAACTCAATGTGATGTCACAACAACTAGGACACCATACCCTTAAAGTGTTTTACTACATGTGTTTAACACCGACATAAGACAAAGTGTATAAAATGATGTCAAAGCCCTCATGTGAAACTAGACTGTTCAATGGGCCACTATCTAAATTCCAAGAACCTGAAAACAAAATAACTACTGGGGGTGATCAAACCACACATTCAGTGAGTATATTTGACACATATTAAAAGAAAACACATAAGTACAAAACAATTATAATTATATCACACATACACATTAAAAATGAAATTCAACATTAAACATCCAACAACCAATAGCCAACATCCAATAACCAACATCCAATATCCAATATCCAATATCCAATATCCATTATCCAATATCAATATCCAATAATAGCTAACGCTATACGTTTTCTCTTGGAAGTCTCGACAATGATATCGTTGCTGCTTATGCCTAGCAGTCTCAACAATCCCATTGCTATCGTCTACGTTTGGCAATTTTAGCTATTATATTGCTACATTTTATGCCCAGTAGTCTCGACATCCACATATTGATACACACCCATAATCAATTTCAATACTTGAAACTACACCTAACATCAATTCACAATCCATAAGTCATTAAATCACAACCTAGCCATTTACAAATAAATATAGTTAACAACAAAACAATCACCATTTCACAACCTACCAAATTACTTTTTAAGCTATTTCACATAAGTATAGCTAATAAACATATAACTTCTTTATTAGTAAATATGAATCAATACACTTACATTGGGTTCAGTTCCAAATCCAAATTCAGTCCCTTTATGTTTGGGTGAATTCGACGTTGACATCGTTGTAACAAACCACATAAATATCATTTACAAACACATAATATTTTGCTACACATGTATAGCTGATTAATCAAGCTTAACCCGATGCCTTTCCAATCCCCTTCATTTATTATGATGTATCCAACCCTTAGATTTAGTGAGGTGTTTGCAGATATATAAAATCAACTAAAATTGATTTGTGTTAGGAAATTTGCACGAAATTCCAATCAGTTGTTAGGAAATTTGCACGAAAATTTTAAACCCGTGAGGAACAAAAAATAGAGAAAACACACGCTAAAAAAAAATAATCACATACAAGACAGTATTTACATAGTTCGGCAATTTGTCTACGTCCATGAAACTGAAGAGATTTCACTATTGAGAAAAAGGAATACAGAGGGCGGCTGTACAGTACCGATACAACCCTAATCACCAAAATAATAGTTTTTATATATCCTGCACACCAGGCTACAAAACAAGTCCAAACCTCCGCTCCATGGACTAAGCCTCAAAAATTTTTTCATTAAACAATCACGCAACATTATTTCAGGTTAGGTTATCATTCAGATTAAAACAAACTAGACTCCACAAAAAAAAAACCCAAAAAATCTCCCACTTGGAGACTAGATCAATCACTAATATCAACCGCAATCCTCCAACAAATAGTCCCTCATCCCTGCAACTCATTCTCTTGTTCTCAAGTTGAGAGACCAACAGAAGCTGAACAAGACTTCAGTTTTTCCACAAAAACTACTTTAGTGAATATGTCTGCCTGATTATCCCTTGTGTGAATCTTCTCCAAAGTGAACTGTCTATCCTCCAACAAAGAGCGAATAAAGTGAAACTTTATGTTGATATGCTTGGTCCTCAAATGAAAGGTTGCATTCTTTTCTAGATGTATCGCACTCTGACTATTACTGAACAATTTAGAATTGTCTTTCTCCTTACCTAACTCTTTCATGAAGTTTCTCAACCATACCATCTCCTTGCACGCCTTTGTGGTTGCAACATACTCCACCTCTATTGTTGAAATAGTCATTATTTTCTGTAGCCTCGAGACCCAACTGACTGTCGCATTGCCCAATGTAAAAATATACCCTGTAGTGCTCTTCTTGCTGTCAATGTACCCTGCTAAATCAGAATCTACAAACCCTCGCAAAACAAATATCAGAGTCCCAAAAATTCAAAGCCGAATCTGAAGTACCTCTCAAGTAGCGCAAAATTCACTTGATTGCTTCCCAATGCTCCTTACCCGGATTTGCCATGAACCTGCTGACAACTTCCACTCTATAACCAATATCTAGTCTTGTATTAACCATGATATACATCAAACTGTCTATCGCTGAGGCATATGGAACCTTTGTCATATAGTTCTACTTAGTGGTGTCAATCGTGTCGGGTTAAACGGGTGACGGGTGAAAAATGTATAAACCTATATACAACACGTTTAATAAACGGATAAAAAATTTCAACACGAACACGATCTGTTTAATAAACAGGTAACACGACATGACTCGTTTAACCTGTTTAATTAAAAAAAAATTATATCAACAAATTTTAATACTCCATTCTTTTTTACTACTAATTGCACTTACCTCAAAAAAGAGAAATTTTAAATCAAATCTCATAAAAATAAGACTTGAAGGCTTTAAAAAAAAAGCAAGATGCTATTGTCTTTTATAGGCAACTCATCCTCCCCATCTCCCCTCATTTTTCAATGTGGGACAAAAATAAAAGACATTGATTTGCCTTTGTCTTTGAAGTGCTCTACCACTTCTCTCATTTGTCTTTGAAAAATAAGACTTGAAGGTTTTAAAAATAAAAACAAGAGGCCATTGTCTTTTATAAGCAACTCAACCCTCCCCATCTCCCCTCATTTTCTAATGTGGGACAAAAACAAAACACATTTGTTTGTCTTTGCTTTTGAAGTGCTCTCTAACTCTTCTCCTTTGTCTTTGAACTACTACTTTACTTTTTTTTATATTAATTTCTTTACTTCTTTTTTCTTGCTAATTTTTTTAAAATAATTATTATATTAATTTTTTTTAAACGGGTAAACATGTGATAAATGGTTTGACAGGTCTCTCCCGAACACAACCTGTTTATTAAACGTGTTTGGCATGTCAGNTTATTAATTTCTTTACTTCTTTTTTCTTGCTAATTTTTTAAAATAATTATTATATTAATTTTTTTTAAACGGGTAAACATGTGATAAACGGTTTGACAGGTCTCTCCCGAACACAACCTGTTTATTAAACGTGTTTGGCATGTCAGCCCGTTTATCACCCAAACCCGTTTAATTCGTGTTGATTAATCGTGTCGTGTCAAATTTTGACAGCTCTAGTTCTACTCTTCATCTGTTACTAGACACTTTTCTTTTGAAAGCTTGAAGTGACTTGCTAAAGGTATGCTAACTGGCTTAGCACTCTCTATGTTGAACCTTTTCAGCACCTTTTCAACATATTCATCCTCTGACAATTTCAACTTCATGTTTGCCTTGTTTATACTAATTCGCATCCCAAGAATTTTCTTCGCAGAGTCCAAATCCTTCATTGCAAACTTCTCTGACAGTTGTGCCTTGAGATTAACAATCTCATCTATGCTTGAACCTGCAACAAACATATCACCTACATATAACAAAAGTATGAGATATGAAGTACCAAGTTTCTTAAAATAACAAAAATGGTCCCCATGACATCTACTAAATCCCGTAGCTGTCATAAAGGTATCAAACTTTTTATGCCATTGCCTCGGAGCTTGTTTCAACTCTTATAGACTCTTCCTCAGCTTGGATAACTGATTCTCCTTGTTTTTCACAACATTACCCTTTGACTAATACATATAAATGTCTTCCTTTAAATCCCCATGAAGGAAAGCAGTTTTAACATCAAATTTCTCTAAATACAGGTTCTTAATAGCCATAATATTAAGGACACATCTGATAATAGAAATGTTAATAACAGGAGAGAAGATTTTAGTGTAGTCTATACCTATTTTCTGCTTAAAACTTTTGACTACCAACATTTTCTTGTACCGTTTGCTCCTATCAGATTCTTCCTTTATCCTGTAAACCCACTTGTTGTGCAAAACACTCTTTCCCTTGGGAAATTGAATCAATTCCCAAGTTTGATTAGATGAGAGAGAATCTATCTCATCATCCATCGCATGTTCCCACTCCTTTTTGGACTCAACCTGCAATGCTTTCTCAAAACATTCTGGTTCACCGCTATCAGTTAACAACAAATAATGCAAAGACGGAGAATAACGTACTGGAGGTTTTACCGTACGTGTAGTTCTTCTAGAAAGAGGAGTCTGTGGATCTGCCAGTGGAGTAGATTGTGTATCAGAGTCTTGAGGCTTTAAGAAATTTTTGTTACGGATTCCTTCAAATTTTACAAAGTCTGATTTTACCTTAGCCTTCTTGGGTTGACTTAGTCTGTTTCTATACAAAACTGACTCATTAAATACCACATCAATACTCCTGTGTATTTTTTGATTCTCAAAATCATACAACTTATATCCATAGCTATTAGTATCATAACATATGAATAAGCACTTACGAGACTTAACATCGAGTTTATCTCTATCCTCAAATTATAAATGGATATAGGTAATGCAACCAAAAACTCATAAATGGGATAAATTTACCTCCTTGTCTGTCCCAACCTCCTCTTGCAATCCACAATTCAACGGAATTGAAGGCTCCTTGTTGATCAAATACACATCGGTATTTACTGCATTAGCCCAAAATTGCTTAGGTAACCTAACATGTAACCTCATGCTCCTTGCACGCTCTAGGATCGTCCTGTTCATGTGCTCAACAACTTTATTTTGCATTGCTTCTCTGGGACCGTTTTTAACCTTCAAATCCTATTCGCAGCACAATAAGCCTCAAACTCACTGCTACAAGACTCCCCACCATTATTTGATTTTAGGCACTTCAATTTCATCTCTGTTTCATTCTCAACTAATGCTTTCTAATTCTTGAAAACATCA